GTTACCTATTAAAATTGCCTCTTCTACCTTCCCTAGGCTTTCTACTATTATGTTGTTGGTTGTGGAGGAGATAAGGTATTTGAAATTGTGTCGTTTGCTACAATTGAATTGTGAAGATAATCTATTTTTTTCAATGAAACTTGTGTGTTATTCTTGTCACCATCCACTACTTTAAGTAATTTTTGCTAACATTAACTACTAAATTTTTGCAAAAAAGTGCCTATCACATGGATAAAATATCCGGTTTATGGAGTCAGTAACTCCTAACAGAGCCTTCCACTCGTTTCTATAATAAAAATCATAAAACGACCATTACTTAAAATTTGTTTGAAAACATGCAACATAGTTTGGAAAACTATTAAGAAACTTTTAATACATAAATTTTAGTTACGAAAAATACAGATCACATTAACTAAATCGCAGACTTTGTTCAAATAACAACAAAATCTGCAGCAATTTTATGAAGTGGAATGCAACTGGATATTCAAGGCCTCTTGTCTGGATGATTTGAGAAAAAAAAAACAAACGAAACAAAAATTGTAAATTGTACAATATATTTTTAAAACACACAATTTTCTACACATGTGTGTATTTGTTTAAATGTAATTTATATATATCTTTATATAATAACAACTTATCTATATCTATATATAATAACAACACTAAACCGAAGTATAATTAAAATTATTAATTTAGCCTCAGGATTTCTAATGTACTTTACATTTATGTTTTCATTTTTTTTACAACAATAAATTATTTTTAATTAATAAATTACCTTCGATAATCCTTTGGAAAAATGTATAGATGTTTGAAATTTAAACATCCAAGTATGCACTTCCGTTTCATCTGTAAATAAATTTTTATTAAATAATAATTCGTATATTTTTCTGAAATAATTACCTTTTTTAATGTTTTTGTAAATGAAAACAAATTCCGCCTTAATGTTTCACTAATGTCGTATTTGTGCCTTTAATTGCAACTCAAAAAACCTAAACAGACAACGAAATTTCTTAGAAAGTGCTCTTACTTTATCGTGGTGAGTAGGAACCGGGTGGGCAAAATTAACTAGACCGGGTGGAGAAAACATTCGCACGCCATTATGTAGCATTAATGCTTTTTGTTTTTGTACTGCGTGATAATTTCACTTTTTCCATTTTTACAAAATTTTGAATATTATTTGAATAATCCAGAAAAATTTATAGACAATATTTCGAGTAACTCTCAGTTTCTTTTCTTTATCTTCTTTGCTACATAACATTTTTTTCAAGTAAAATTTGTGTTGATGTGTAAATCAGCTGTTTAGGTTTGAATTTAAATTTTTGTATTTTGTATTTGCGCGGCACTGGTGAATGTAAAAAATTCTATAAGTTTAATTGTATTAACTGTTTTAAATAGATAGTGACATAAACATATAGACTCCTGTCATGACAGTTGGGTTTTACAAAACTGCTATTTTTATGCGACTACCATCTAAATGTGGAGGTAAGTTCTTTGGCAAAAGAATTGAGATTTATTAATTTCTCTTATGTTTACAGAATAGTATCGGCTGTCTGATTCCGCAAACCCCTGCACCCCTGCACACATCAGTACACCATATGAAGACAACAAGCGTCTTACTCGTGCATAAAAAATTTTAATAAAAAATTAGGGTCAGGTCGAATACAAATAGAAAATGCATTTGGTATATTAAAACTACGTTTTAGATAAATGTACATCTGTAAATTCAAGGGAGTTGAAAAAGTGCGTTATATTATAAAAGCATTTTGCGTTTTGCAGAATCTTGCAAATGAAAATGACAGAGTTCACATTCCTAGAAGAATATGAGGAAGATAATAGCTGTGTTTCAGCAAACATGATCCGCTCAATGATCTGAATCATCTTTGCTGAAACGATACGGATCACGTTTGAAATGATTGGCAACGCATGAAATATGACAGTTGGGTTTGTGTACAAAATTTTTTGATTTGTGTGAATAATTTTGGCGCTAAAAAAATAAGTGAGAAAATTTTGAATACAAAAAATCTAAAAAATGGAAAATAAATAAAATCTGTTGAAATGTCTGAAGTATTTACTTAAAAACTTAAATTTAATTCTATAGTTAATAAATGAAAATTGCATATGTTATTAGAATCATCGAGCGAAACTGACTCTTCCATTCCCTTTTTACTAGTTCAAGTGTATGGTATTAAGCTCAAGGGATGAAGTGTATCAGCATAGATATAGTGGAAGTTTTGTGGAAACGATCAATAATTTTTTCGTTAAAGATTATTTGATTGATATTTGCGCATAAAAAATACAATTGCTATATATTAATTATGTTTCATATTTTAATAGATTTGTTAATAAATTCCAAATCAGCAAATGCAAAATAACCGTGATGATCACATTTGGACGAGAGCAATGAAGTAATTTTATATATTTTTGTGGTATATGGCAAATATGAATACTTTTTGCAAATTTGGTATTTGTTTTGGCATACCAAGAGCTTCTGTGTGGAGAATAATTAAAAAAACTAGTGTTTAGCTTATATCAATTGGACACTAATTTAAAATACGCACTTGCTAATAATGCAAAAATGGAAGCTTCGAAAAAATTCCCGTTCGTAATTGGTTGCATAGACAGTACACATCTAAAAATAAATGCACCAAACCATAGTAAATAGGCTTATTTCAAATGAAAGCATGACTATGGCTTAATCTTGCAGGCAGTTTGCGATGAAAATGATTTTTTTATAAACGTATATGTTGGAGAGCCTGGTTTCTTATGTATTGTTCTGTTTTAATTAAATAAATGTATTCAACTTAATTTTTATATATTCATTTCAAATTAATTGATATTAATAAATTATCAAACAACACTTTTTCAATAATAATAAAACGTAAATTATTAAAGTAATAATTTTAATTATATTGATAATTAGAACGTTACTTTAAACAAAGAAATAAATAATAATGACATATTAATTAAATAAGTACATAAAATAAATAATAAATAAATAAAATCAATAGTAAATAAATATAAATGTAGATTTGTTTAAAATTTTACTGCACCGTGCATCGCATTGCCAACCTTATTTGCATTAAAATACGTTCCACTTTTATCTTTTACATACATTCCACATTGAACCAGAAAGTGAACCAGATCAATTACTGGTTCACCCCATTGTTTTTGTTTTGCATGTAAAATTGAGCGGATCATGTTTGCTGAAACACAGCTAATGATAACAATCAGATTCCTTTTAGGTCAAGTATCGTAAGAGATTCAATTTGTAATGAAACAAACAAAATAATTTGGATTATTGTGTTTATATGTATATTGTTTATTTTTCATTAATTTATTTCATTATTATAACAACAAAGAACTCAATTCTAAACAAATTCTTAAAATTACATTTTATAAATATATATGTAATTCTAGCATAAAGTAACTTTAAAATTACATTATATAAATAAGTATTTAACTCTAACTTAACATTTCATAAAGACTTTAATATTAAAACTACGTGTTTTAAATTAATTTATCCTAATAATAATAATACATAATATAAATTTATAAATAAATACATAAAATATATTATTTATTTCAATGTATAAAAAATAATCGTTACATTTTCTTATAAATCATATACAATGAATATTTTTTACTTTTTTACAATTTTTCCCAGCATCTCCAGTTTTCTATTTTCAATATTTGCCAGTCTTACGTTGTTTTTCTGCAATTTTCGTTCAACATTTTTATAAATTTGTTTCCGGTGTTCCCTATACCGGCTTTTCTCCTCAACTTATTTTCCTACCATTTTGATGTTCATGGATATTAGTTACAGCTACTATTTGGTGGAATTGTATGTTCATGTGCATTTTGGTTCTATATTTTCCTGCACTGGATCCTACACACTTTTTTTTTCCAACTTAATATTATTATGTACAATCTATTCTATGCATGAATAATAAGTACTACTTATGACAATAACAATATTTGACTACACACTGAACACTAATTAATCGTACAGTTCCTCTTCAGCAACAAACCGCTTCGACATCTCATCAACAATTTCATCATCTAATAAAAAATGCATTAAACAATTGCGATTTCAAATGTGTGAATACAATTTCTTATCATTTTGCCGTTGCAGAAAAGTTGCTAGTGAACATGAAACAATTTTTCTTCCCTCCATTTCGTCTGTAATAATAACATAAAATAAAATTTTTGTAATAAATTTATTTAACATACACTAACTCACTAACATTCTAACTCACTTTATTAAAATAAAACTTAAATTTACATAAATTAATTTTTAATAATATTCAAAAATATTTGCGCTTGTTACTTTAGTTTTCCAAAATGTGATTTGCTTCTTATTTTTCAACTTCTATTTCTGTTTTATTTTCAAAAAACAGCTGTTCTCAACAGATTACACAAAGTTGTTCCATGAAAATTTATGTAAAGGACGTCATTTGGCACTTTATTTGTGTTACGGTCTCACTTTGTACTTTATTTGTGCTTTACTCAAGTTGTGCTATAAGTAGTTGGTAGAACACACCTAATATAATTTATAGACTATAATTTAACAGAAATGTTAGATTTTTCTAAAGAAAATCTCATTGATTAGAGGTTAGGAATAGTGTTGTGTTAAATACGTGTGAGTGAAACATTGTGTTTATTTTCATTTGCACAGTGGTAAAATGGGTCCAAATAAATATTATAAAAGTTTTAAAGAAGATTGAGAGTATTTTTTAATAATATTGGTAGTATCATCAATTTGAAAATATTTTGTTCAATGCCTTTGTTTATATCAAACTTGTATGAAATCTTACAAAATTTTAACATAAATTTCAATACAGCTTTAGTGAGGTGAAGTTTCATATCTTATCTTATTTCTTGTTAGAAATAAATGTTGATATTACGTGTTTACATGCGATTTTATAAATCTTGTTAAAATGTAGTCAGTGTAGATGCTAATTAAAATATATGTAGTATGTAATCATGTTTTCAGAATAAATTTTTTGAAACTGCAACACTGCAGATATTATAAAATGGCGGAACATTTCAGTGAACAAACAAAAAAGTATAGATAGCTTCACTTACGCGCGTGCTATAAACATAAATTTTTCAGTAAATATTTAATAGCTAATGCTTTTTCTATCTTGATGTGTATGAATTTGGTTAATATGAAACAGGAGATAAACAGTAAAATTTATGAAATAGTATAAAAATATATCTGGGGGTGCTCTCTTCAAATGCATGCTGTTTTAGCTGGAAATAATATATAATTAAAAATTAATATTGCGGCAATGTGTGTAATTTATAGATATGTATTAAATAAAAGTCATGAATTAAATTTATTTAATATCTCCATATTTACATAGTACGGAGAACTTAATTTTGCGTGATTATAGTTTTCAAATGTAATAAATGTGTATTATATGGTACTATTTGTAGGAATCTACTTTAGTATCGGGATTCGTTTGTTTTTATGTAACTACTTTGTGATGGATCCTAACTCTAGTCCTTGGTCTTACGCGTACAACAGAATAGTTCCTTCTGCTTCAACTAGTAATTCAACAGAGGAGTTTCAGCACCCGCATTTAGCCTCCATAACTGCAGCAGGACAAAGTGCTCAATCACTACTCTTGCAAGCAGCACACACAAATATTGCTGCCAGCTTTAACGCTGCAACGGGTGGTGGAAGTTTTGTTTCACCTTCTCCAATAAGCAGTTATAATCCAGTGTTTCAGCAAATTTACCATCATGCAGCTGCTGCAACTGTTCAACCAAAACCCGCACATTATGCCTCTACAGCAGTTAATACTCCTCATAGACAATTACAAATAACCTCTTTGGACAAACAGCTCACCACTTTTCAAAACCAAACAGCTGCTGCTTCTTCAGTGTCGTCTACTGTTGTGAATAATGTTTCATCAAATTACTATGGCGATAATTCATCTTCAAGTGGTGCCTCTCCCTCGCCAACAACAGCAACACCCACAACTACCACATTAAGTTGGAATACACCCATGATTTCAAATACTTTTATTGCAATGCAACAGCATCAACATCAGCAGCAATTAAATCTTGCAACCGAAAAAGTGGTAAGTAAAGTTAATTGTACGTTTGTAAAAATTGTGTGTTACTGACAGACACATATTTATATCTCATATTTGTAATTCAAGTATCATTTTGTACTAAATTTTAACAATAAAAAATTACTGATATTTTCTGTTTACTACAATTTAATGAATATGTACCAACTATAATTATTCCTAAAATAGCTAGTAAAGCAAGAAAATCTTCAAACAAAAGCTGAAGTCAAAGATTATAATGATGTCATTTACTTGAGTAACCTTCATCAGCATAATAATGAGGAATCGACAAATACATCAATCGGTTCTAATCCGTCAAATCAGAGTGATATCAATACTTATTATACAATTGATGGTAAAAATTATAGGATTTTACGTAAACAACAGCAACAACATATACAATTAAACCAAAACAATAGCACTCCTATATATCCTATTTACGCAAGCCCTTCACTTAGTTCAGCTGGCGGTTCTCCAGCAGCAGTTTCTTCTCTTCAAGCTACAAATACACCATCACAAGTAATAGTTTATAAAACAAATATAAATAATAATGATACTAGAGCAGAATCGCCTCTAAGCCCAAATGCTGCAAGCGCTGGCTCGCCTGTACCGTCTACAGTTGCCTATTCATCTGTGATACAATACACACTTCAACAACAACAAATGCAAAGACAACAAAACTCCAGTTGTTGGGGAAAAATGGAAAATTCACCACATATTGATGATGTCAAAAATGTATTGCAGTTACAAGTAAAACAAGAGAACCGTCAATTAGGTTATTTGAATGACTCAAATGCAAGCGAAAACATAATATTTAATTTGCCTCCTGGTTTGGAAATTAAGCAAACTATGTATCACCCCAGCAGTACTATAGCAAGTGCTTCAGTTTTGCAGCATACTCAAAACCAGCATCATCAAATACCAAACCAACAGGACCATACACATCAAGCATATGGGAATAACGATGATCAAAAGATTCGTCCAGAAGACAAACAGCGACGAGAGCACGTGGTAACTAATATGCTTATGTCACCAACAAGTAGCAGTCATAATTCACAGGAGTCTTTACAACAATCTTCATCTTCTGCTACTTCAAGCATTTTACCGTCACAGATTCAAATAATGCCCAAGGTTTGTATTTTAGTTTTATTATTTTAGTTTTACAAATATTATTTTTACATAAATTAAGTTCGTTTTTTTTTCTTTTTCAAGCCGATTTTTATTTTTCCCACCTACTTTAATGTATATATACATATATGTTTGTATATATGCATATATGTACATCATCTTCCTCTTAAAAATTAAAAAATTTTTATGTGATCAAATTAATAAAAACTTAAGATATTTAGTTTTGTTGTTTATATGCAGTATTTTATGTTTCAAGTTTTGATTTACTATATTAAATTATATTATTGCTTGGAAATTATTTGAACCTGTGACGTTAATTTGCGATGTGAGGAAGATGAGCGTAAGATATATTCTAGTATAGCGTGAAGGAAATTTTCCCTTTAAAAATTTATATTAATAAATTATATTGTTAAAAAATTTTCAAGTATATTCCTATAATCAAAATTATTTGAATTTCAATGTTTCTTTTTTAGGTTGAGGAACAATCTAAAACACCTCTGACATCAAAATCAACCAAAACACCTCGTAAGAGACAACCAAAAAAAACCTTAGTTGCAAATGACTTTTGTTCAGTGCGTAGTTCACAATTGGAAAACCCACAACACCAGCAACAACCCAGCTACTATGATTTTAATAATAAATGGAATTCTCAACTAAAAATAGAAAATAATGTGACTTCAACGGTTACACAAGCAGCCACAATTAGTATACCAACATATGTAAATCCAAATTCTACGCAACTCCAACAAAACGTTACACAGCATCAACAGCATCAACATCCACCTCAACATCAAATACCACTACCCGCACATTTGCAATCTTCGCAGGCACATTCGCATGCACATTTATCTGATATATCTCCTTACTATTCCACATTTCCACAACAAATCGGAACTCAGTATACAACTTGTGTACAACAAACACATGCGACAGGTGCAATACAGCATAGTTTATACAATCTAAACCAACATGCACAAGCTGAGCAACAGCCGCAACAACAACAACAACAACAACAACAGCAGCAGCAGCAAAATCAGGAAGAAAAAAATCAAACACAACAAATCTCTTTAGTAGAAACTACGTCTTCAAATGATGCTAGTAATAAAGTGATTGTACCAAATATTGAAGAAGAACTAGGATTTCTTACTGATGTTATTCCATCAAAAAAAAATTTTGCAAATACTAACAAACTTCCGAGTAATGCCACTAATTTTGGATCCAAGAGTACAGAAAAAAATTTGGTGAACAATTTAATATCAACAACTTTTGCAGCTACCAATAATGGAAATAGCAGTCTTTCAACTGCAGGTAATAACAACTTCGTTGAGAAGAAATCAGTTTGTGTTGGTACTTTAATAGGTGAAAAGAAAACCCAGTTTATGGATAGTTATTTAAGATTTTTACAAGGAGAACGTGATGATTCACCACCACCAATTGTAAAAACTGGTCGAAAAATTGGTTATCAAAAAACGGGAGCTGCAAGTATAGGTTCTAAACGTAAAAATGTACCTAATGAAAATTTTATGCAAGGCATTGAAAGTCAAGAACAGACAATAATAGGACTGACTTCAGGTGATGACGGACATAAAATTAAAATACTCTCGCAAACACAAATATTACCGAAGAAACGTCCACAAGCACAAATTGCTGCAGCCGCTGCGGAGGCATTATCAAATATATCTTCAAATACTTCGGCGTCAGTAATACAACAAGCAACAGAGCAGATACAGCAGCAAGTACAACAATCGCTACAAGAGCAATCATTCCGACCTTATAGTCAACAGGATATACATCAACAATATCCCTCCCAAAAGCAAGACTGCGGACAACTGGGCCTTGGAGTAGTTAACACAGAAACTAATAGTAGTCAAGGTATGTTACACAAGCGCTGAAATTTTACTAATTTTACTTCCACTGCCACTAGTGTACACTTTATTATTATTAATTATTTGTGGCATTTTCACTAAACCAAGTGTGTATTTTTTGGTGTTTCGTCTTATTTAAATTTCTGAAGTAATTTCCTAGATCATAAAAAAAAAATCGTATGAGAGAAAGTTTGTTCTTAAATATTAGTGTTTAAAATAAGTGTTTAAAAGATCGTACCCTAAAAAGATCTACAAACAAAACACATCCTAAATCTTAAAAATAGTTTATCTAAATAGCTTAAATCATATACCAATTTTTATTAGATTAATTGCGTAATAAATGGAAATTTTGCAGAATATGTTTACAAGATGATAAGGTATTAATACTTAAAAAGAAAACAAAAAAGTCTATAGTAAAAATAGTAAAATATTTAAGGATTTCTATAGAACTGCACATTGAAAATTCGTAATTTCCGAACCCGATTCAACTCAAAAGCACAATATTAATTAAAGCATATTTAGTAGAATAATTGGTATATGACCTAAATCATTGTAGCGTTATATTTTTTTACTGAACTTTACTTTTTTCTTTAATTTAGAAAAAGGAATATCTTCCGATATTACACCATTTAAAATAAATAGAAGTCATGTGTCTGTCAAATAGAATATATTCAGAACCAGATGCAATGCTTAAAGAAATGCTATATTCTAAATTAGCTGACACCACTGACGTAACTTTCATTCATATACTTCAAAAAATGAGTTTGCTTAAAAAATGTGTACATAAAAATATACAATACTTTTCGTTTTAAACGAACGTTTTTTAATCGATTAAACCAAACTAAATTGAGAAATTTGCCCCTAATTAATTGCCAGTAATTATTTTTGTTTAATGCGAACTCGTTTAATGTGAAGTATCAGTTATAAGAAAAAATATTAACATTTACGTTTTTATTGTTCGGTTTATATTAATTCCAAATCGAGGATACACAAACCTTATAATATGACTATAGCAATATTATTTGCAAGTTTAAAATTTCTCTAAATGGGTTTTTATTTTGCACATATTGTCCACATATAAATGTAAGTATGAAATTATCAAACACTTACAGTAATCAGTAAACCCAAACTTCAAATTTACCATACGATGGTAAACCATTTCCTATGTTTTAAATGGTTTCATATCTGGTTCTTGGTATTCAAAATTAAATATCGACAATTAATTAAACAAATGAATATTTCAACGTCTACTGATGATGGATATTTGGCAATATCCAAAACAGCTGTACAGTCTGCTAAGAACTTCTACATATTCCATGCAATAAAAATTGCATATATAGTTACAAACAATAAGTAATTGCCTTTAAACGGACCATTTTTTAGTCCGTTGAATTTGGATCTAAGCGGAAGGTACTGTACTCGTATGCTGATTATTTGTTCAAACATAAAATTTTATGAAATCGCTATTTTATTATATGTGAAAAACAATATCCAAAGCAAAAAAACTATATGCATTCAATATCACCATTAAGGCTGTATGTTCAATAAAGAATTTGATTTTCATTATTATTATTTATATGATGATCTGTTATAATTGCTAGCAGCTATTTTTACAAACTTCTTTATAAAATTTTATTCTATGTATTCCCATGTATATTTCAAAGATAGCAAATATTTTTTAAGCTTGTAAATTTTTTCTTAATGCTTAATTTAATCGATTCTTGTCTTGTTTTATGCCAAAATAATATGCTCGTCACTGGTTGATATACTTACATAATGTACATCAAACCTTCAATTAAAAAAACACAATATGTAAAGAATAACGTAAATAATGAAATAGGATTGGAATACTTGTTAGTTAAATTATAATAGAACAAGCTTTTGGTTTTGATGCGATAGTAGCCATGAACTTTAGATAGGGTGTTGTTTTAAAAAAACAATGTCTAACTGTTAGAGTTAGCAAATGAAGACAATCACCGAAACTTTTCAAAAAAAATAATTTGAAGCATCATAATTTCTATATTCTTAAATATAGAATAACATATACAACAAATTAAAAACTATTTGCGTTAGAATTAAATCGTATTTCACTTTGACATAATCGAATTAGGTACTGATTTTAATAAGCTGAATTAAAATATCACGCGATCTGAAGCGTGAAAATAGTCAGAACTGGACAGTTTTGTTTTTAAAATATTGCGTATAAGTTGAATAGAGATTTGCTCTGTTAGGCTCGGTGATGGTGCTCGGCAAATGTGCCTATGTGCCAACACATAGTGTGAAGAATGCGACCAAATAGTCGAAATTGTAGTGTAGAATAAAAAAAAACTAATAATATAGAAAACTATTATTGGATATCTTTCCGGAATTCAGAATTTAATGCTAGTTTTCTTTTTCGAATTTTTACATTAACTTAACTTTTTAAAAATTCGTGTCTTTTTCAATGTTATTTTTGCATATTTTACTATGTTTTAAAGTAAACTTCATAAATCAATAAATAAGAAGATTGTTAAAATATGTTAAAATTTTACTTTATAACAAGTCTAGTGAGTACAATGTTGAAATTAAAATAAATTTCAGCTGAAATAGTGTGGACTTACTATTTTATATAACTTTTCACACTGAATGCATCAATTAAAATACGCGATTAAGTAAGGTAGTAGAAAAATGAAATGAAACTATATATATATATATAAAAAACATTAAAAACAAATCTTTTTTGTTCAACAAAAAAGAAATTTTCAAATGAATGGCTTCTTTGTAATAAATATTTAATGAAGTCGAAAGTAAACTTACTTAAAATCACCTTTCACATTAAAAACAAAGTAAAAATAAGGTTTAATATATCATTCAAAAAACCATATAAGAGAATAAAGAATTAAAGAATTGAGAGATTGTAATATCTAATCCGCCTGCATAATGACTAAAAGGAACTTGAAAAAATGTATGTCCGTGTAAAACATTTTAGCTCTGCTGCTCGATATGGATTTATCTATGGAAAATTGTAGTATAAATATTTTATTATAAATAGAAATAATAAAGTGTGAACAGATAATACCGACTTAAAAAAATTACTTAAATCAATTGTTTGTTGTTGGAAGGTGGTGCAAAAAATTAATATAACTTTCATATAATTACATACTATTCATAAGCTTAAGTTAGTGTAATGATTTAGACTAAACTTAATTAGTGTTGCAGGAGTAATTTACAATTAAATTGATTTAATTTTAAGCAGTTTTCTACAAAAACAAAGCATCGGTCCCCAACCCCTTTATACTAGGGCTGCTATATATATGAAAATGCGAATATTTATCATTAAAAATTGTTTTATTGTTTTTCAAAGTATTTTCCAGCCTGATTTATACAGTTTTATATGCGTTCAAACCAATTGTTGAAGCATGAAAATCGTTGACCACGCATTTTTTTCTTGATGTGCAGGAATCAAAAGAAGTCATTGGGCGCCAAGTCAGGGCTGTATGGCGGATGACCCATCAATTCGACGTTTTGACCGGTCAGAAAGGCCCTGGTTTGAGCCGATGTGTGAGTGCTCGCGTTGTCATGGTGAACAATCATTCGTCTTCTCTTGTTCGTTTTTCGAAGACTTCAGGCAAATAAATTGTGATGAACCACTCAAAAGTGACCGTCCTTCGTTGCTCTGGCGGAATAGTCGCCACATGACCAGTTTTGCCGAAGAAACAGGCGACCATTTGCTTCGAAGTGCTTCTTCCACGGTCAAGAGTCGTTGGATTTGTCTCGTCTTTGAAGACTCACACGGTCGATTGTTGTTTTGTACGCATAGATCCATGATTCGTCATCTGTGACGATCTTATAAACGTCTTTTGAAGCACCGCAAACGTATTTTTTCAACATTTCTTTGCACCAATCGACACGAGCCGTTTTTTGAGCGATTGTCAAATTGAGCGGGATCCAAGGAGAACAAACCTTTTTTATGGCCAGGTGTTCATGCAATATCGAATGTATGCTGGTGGGAGAAATGCCCAAGGATACCTCTATCTCACGGTATGTCACATGACGATCTTGCATTATCAGTTACCGCACGGCATCAATGTTCTCTGGCACAACGACCGTTTTTGGACGACCTTCACGGAATTCGTCGTTGATCGAGCGTCGGCCACGATTGAATTCATTTAACCACTTTTTCACAATGCTATAGGATGGTGCTTCATCGCCATACAAAGATTTAAGTTCATCAATGCACTCTTGTCGTGATAATCCACGTCGAAAGTTGTGAAAAATGATCGCACGAAAATGTTCACGTGTTAATTCCATTTTATGGCCGAGATGAATTTTTCAAGTCTCTGTAGATAAAACAATTCACAATTAAATGACAACACGTTCTGAGTGATGTTATGCTAAAAAATGTCAACCTTTCCAATAGAAATGACAGATTGCACCTGGCAACACTTAGTGTAGCCTAGGCCAGAAATACATATATCACCCCTCGTATTCATACGTACTCTTTCATATTCAACATATGTTCAGTGACGTATATAATTATTGGCACAGCAAGAGTGTGAACTCTAATTCGGTTTTTATTAATACAATTTTTAATTAATTAACATTTTTTCAGATAAATTGCTTAAATTGCAATTAATTTAATTTAATTTCATTATATTCTCTTTAATTTAATTTCTTAAAATTGAAAAATCAAAACAAGAACTAAATTTTGCAAAATAAAATTATTAGCACACTTAGGTTATAATGAACTATTTTTATATAAATTCATCGATCTGACAACCTTTTCTTGGAAAAGACCTGTAATTTCTACATTATAAATGGATATCAGTCAGAGAATTTTTTCCTAGTGGTAATCAAATGATCTAAGAAAATATCCCAGCAAAACTTTTAATGCATATTCTAAAATGAGCTCAAGGTAAAGCCTCGAAAGATCCAAAAGGCACAACATCTTACACCAAAGTAACCAAAAGTAAGACTCGAAAGAGCAAAGTAGTTGTTATGCTTGCACAATCGTGGTGAATTTCCAAA